TGAGGGCAAGACATGGATGTTCCAGATATAATATTGTACGAAACAACTCTACTATCTCCTTCCAATCCAGTGACCGTAGATAGCTCCGACCATGCAGCAACAATATCCACGCCAGGTGCACTTAGATCAGGCTACAGAAATGCAAAAAGAAATCATTAATTAAATAAGCAGTGAAAAATAAAAAATGATATTTAAGTCTTACACACCTTGAGGATGTCACTTGTGATTGGATTTGGTCCTCTTGATGAAAAGGAAACCACAAAGGGGGCAGCTTTTTCTACTGCTTCAACACTCTTAGCAATTGTAGCACTTGGGTTACTGTATGATTAGCAATATAATCAGATATTCATTTATATTTGTCAGCTTAATAATTAAAGAATTGTGTAAAATAAATAATAGAAGGATACAATTTTATTTACCTTGTTGTGTTGATATATTTAAAAACTTGGGTACCATCTGTGGATGTCAAGTATGATGCTGATAAGGGAAAAGAAAAGGCGAAATCATTGAATCCATTACTTTGCATTATAGTTCCAATAGCACCCACTTCTACTTGTGCTGTTCCATTACCCAGCGAATCACATAGGACAATGGTTCCATTTACCAGTTTTGCATCTAGAGAGCCGAGTGAGCAATACCTGCATTAATTTATGCATCATCGACGTTGAAAAAAAAAAGAAAAAGTACAACAATTAATTATCTAATTGTAGATCTTCTTTAAAATCTACCTTGACTCGGAGCCATCAGAACCTGGTGCAGGTACATTTCCTCCGTAGACTAGCGAGTACGTCTCATTTTGGAGCTTAAATGTGTTTACAGAAACTCCCTGAAAAATATAAAATCAAACAAGATTTAAGTTAGTGGGCAGTGTCTCAAAATTAATATAAAAATTTCACTTTTTATTTAGTAAAGAAGGAATATCTGATTATCACCTCGTAACTTTTACCATTACCCAAAAAGACTTGTGTGAGAAATTTCCTATCGATGACATTGGCAGCAACCGAGAGGGACCAAGGTGAGAAATTTAAAATGCTACCAGGATTAGGTCCAGAATTACCAGCAGAATTTGATGTGAGTATTCCATTTTTCATAGAATGGAATGCACCAATGGCAATTGGATCGTCAAAATAATCCAAAGGAAATAACCCTCCTACTGAAAGTGATATAATATCAACTCCATCGGAAATCGCATCATCAAATGCTGCAAGAATATCAGAATCTGAACAACCATCAGACCAGCAAATTTTGTACACTGCAATGCGGGAAGAAGGAACCCCTCCTCGAGCTGTTCCCGAGCCAAGACCTAATAAACTTGCCCCTTTTACAATGCCTCCAGCTGCTGTGGATGCAGTGTGAGATCCATGTCCTCCAGAATCCCTAGGCGAGGGGACGTCTGGATAACTAATGTTTCCTTCGCTATGATAAAACCTTGCTCCAATTATTTTGCTGCAAAACGTCCATTTTATATTAGAGAAGTTGACAGTCTTTCAACTTAACCTTTAGCTGAATGGTTCAACAGAGATGACTCAGCTTATTATACTATTAAGTACACAGGATTTGTGTACTTACATAAGTAGATTGGAATTATAATTAGGGCAGCTTACTTATTGCAAGTGAAATTTGAGGAGGATTGGCAGCTGCCTTTCCATTTGCCTGGAGGAGGGCCAAAACCTTCATCACTGAAACTCTGTGATTCAGGCCAAATCCCAGAGTCTAACATTCCAACAATAATGTCGCTCTCAATTTGTGTTCTTTTAACATCTTGAGGGAAGCCCATAAAGTCCCATGACCTTGTTGTGTGCAGTTGCTTTTTGGTGCTAGGGAATACAGACACAACTTCGTCCATGCCTGAGTATGCATTAAATATAAATAACTTAGACTGGAATCCAGAAAATCTCGACTACGTGCTACAAATTAACAAATTAATTGACTCACAGTTGACGTACTAGCAATTTTCTCCTTCTCTTCCTCAGTCAACTTGGCAACAAAGCCGTTGAAGCTTTTGTGGTAGCTGTGGAGCCAAGATTTTGATGCCCTTTCGCTGCATCCATTACATATGTATAGTACAAGTAAGATAATTACTAATTTATTACTTTTCCTATTTCTTGACTTAAAAAAGAATTTAGAAACCCATGGTTCCAATATATTTTGAGATCTTAAGCATTTTTTTAATATAATAAATAGAAGTTAAACAACCTGTCCATAACTGATTGTAGCATGCTCACGTGCATTGATGTAGCAGAGAAATCACTCTTGGAGGGAAGATCACCCATGTATACAATGTATACCTGCATGCAAATCTAAATACTTAAGCACAAATCACTAATTCAATTTCTTTGCTATATATACGAAAATCCATACATACGTGCATGTATATATACATGCTATATATGTTTGCATGTTCTATCTATACATGCCTTTTCCTTGGCATCAGATTGTCCACTGCAACTAATTAGCAGAGCACATATGAGAGTTACGAAGAGGAGAGGCCATGACTGAGAAATTATGGAAGCCATAGAAAATATTTGATAAAATTGGATTTCCGAAATGCTGATAATTTTCATGCACGGAAAGTCTGAATTTATAGAGGAGAATAAATTTTTCTGCATATGAATTCTCGAACATATATTGATAGTCCCGCCTAAACAAATGCAAAGTCCAATGCCGGCACTAACAATGTAACAATGTTCTAATTAGAGTCATAAGCTTGAAGTTTATGTTTTGGTATCAAAAGGAAGTGCCAAATAATTTGGGTCGTTTCTAAGGTTGCTTTATTCGTTTATTATAACGCCAATAAATTTTGAACATGTTTTCTGTGTGCCAGCTTGCATTTTATCTTAATCTGGCCAGAGATCAGAAAGAAAGAGAGAACCGAAAAAAATAAAAAATAATAATAGTTCGCCTTGAAAATTGTTTGATGAAATCCCTCAAACGTATGTGATCGTTGACAATTAATAAATTAGATGAGTTAATTAAAACTATATATAGTTCCCCACGATAAATATACTTTAGTTTGAAATATATTGTGTAATAAATTAATTTTAAACTAAAAAATAAAATAAAAATGAAAGTAAAAAAAAATAAAAATACGTATATAAAACAAATGGGCAGGCGGTCGAAAACTCAAACAAATCCATTACCAAACTCATCCAAATCCAAATCCCATTTCAAACCAATAACACACTCAACACATACTGAGAGAAAGACGAAGCAGGGAGAAAAAGGAAGAGGAAGAAGAAAAAAAAGAAAAATTTCCCCCTACATGTTAGAAAATAAGTTCTACTATTAGGTTAGAATTCTTCAAAGTTAAAGATAAGTAAAAAGTTACTCATTGAAAGATTATGTTTAATTTTATAGTTGTTAAATTGTTAGATTAAATTCAATTTTATTGAAAGGGTTATGTAATCGAGTTAAATGAAAGAAAAATTAGTTTAAGTGATTAAAGATATTTTGAAAATCGCTTAAACGTGAAATGATTAAGTTTGAGTATCGCCTATTTAATTATTGAAATTACTAAAAATAACTAATTGTTGATTTAAAGATTATATCATATTTCAGGCGACGATACGGACAGCTTACCAATCGAGTTGATTTTGTGTACATAGTTTTGTGAGTGAAAAAACATAAATATTTTTAAAGTATTTATAAATTAAATATATTATCAAAGTATGTGCAATTATGTGTTCGATTATATGATTTTTATGGAAATATCTTTTGTTATGATACATATGGAATCTCAAAGATTATTTATAACACATTTGTGATTTGGTATGTGAGACATGTAATATTGAGATCGACTAGAAAAGTACCCATGATTACATACTTTTTCTAGTTTACAAAGGAGCCTTGATCACGTTCTATCCTATACGGAGGGGTCTTAACCTGACATTGATCTTGACCATGTACATGTAGTTTACGGAAGAGCCTTGACCGTATTTTAGAATTAATTATCAGAGGTCTTGAAACTGGCTTTCATTTATGGAGGGGGCCAAAGGCCCGTAGCGAAAGTTCTTAGCTCGAGGGACGGATTATAGATTTCAGTCAGATGGTACATTTTTTGTGATTTTTTCAGTATATTTGATATGATGAGATTATAGTACAGTTATCAGTTGATATTTATAGTTTGAATTTGAGATGATATTTTACAACATTATGTGAATGTCTCACGTTTTGGTTATAATTATATGATATTATCTTGTGAATTATTCAATGATATGAATTTAATTTTTGATAAAAAAAAGTAAAATAGAAAAAGTATATTTATTTTTGAACTTCTCCATTCACTGAGTTATCAACTCATATATTTTCCCACATTTTTCTTATTAGATACCGGTTGAGTTTCTAGGCATCTTTTGAAGTTGAGTCTTGATTTTGGAGTCAGAGCCACACGACAAAGGTTGTTAGTATGACTCACTTCATAGAGCTTACAGTCAGTATTTTTGAACGCATGTTCGTGTCTATATGTGATTTTTCATCATTTGTAAATGGTTGGAGGCTCACTATATATTTTGTATCTACATGTATATTTCATGTTATTTCTGGGTAAAAGTTGATATTTCAACTTATCTTTATTGTATTATATTATAATTTGAGATTTGTGTGTAATTGATCACAGGTTGGTTAGTCCTATTTACATGAGAAATAATATCTAAATTCTGTTAGAAAAATGATGTATAAAAAGTGATATATTGTACTTGTGATAGCCTTGATAGTGGGTTCTACTTTTAGTGGATATCTATCATCGACCTATGCCACATCTGGGTCCAGTAGTGTTACACAGGGTGGGGTGTGCCATATTGACTCGAAATCAAATACTAATGTAACTAAACCAATGTATGATAAGTTTATTTTTATATTAAGGATAATTAGTACAAAATATCCCTATCTTTCGATTTTTTGTGGAAAACGCCCTACCTTTCATTTTTTAGCGGATTACACCCTCACATTTACTTTTTTTTTTTGCTCAAAACGTCCTTCTGTCAACTCTCCGTTAAAATGCTCCGTTAAATCAACGGGTAAATAGCACAAAAGGTCCATACCTTTCAATATTATTGTGAAAAACATCCCTACCTTTTATTTTTGGCATGATTAATACAAAAGGTCCCTATCTTTCAATGTTATTGTGCAAAACGTCCCTACATTTTATTTTTTAGAATTTTTACCCCTACCTTTCACCTTTCATTGCGTAAAAGGTCCTTTTCATCTGTTTTTTCAATAAAATTACGATTTTATCCTCCTATTCAAATAAAACAAAAAGAAAAGAAAAGAAAAATAATTAATTAATTACAATTATAGTCCTAAATCTTTCAAAACATTACAAATAAATCTTAAATTCTCCACTACTGCCACTTTCACAACTACACCAAGCCACCACCTATAGATCCATATAGCACCACTTTTCGACCATAACACCTATCGGACTTCACCACTACCAGCCTCGCCTCACTCTCCCCAATATCCTCTCCCATAGTATTGGTCAACAATCTGTCCGAAACAATCACATTTACGGTGGCGATGTCCGGTGGGCATGGTGGCTTAAAGGTGGTGTTATGTGGATTTATAGTTGACAGCTTAACTGGTTGTGAAAGTGGTCGTGGTTGAAAATTTATGATTTCTTTGTAATTTTTTAAAAATTTAAGGACTATGGTTGTATTTGGTAATTCATTTTTTTTTTAATAGGAGTGTAAAATCGTCATTTTATTGAAAAAAAATAGATGAAAAAAATCTTTTGCGTAATGAAAGGTGAAAGGTAGGGGTGGAAATGCTAAAAAATAAAAGATATGGACGTTTTGCACAATAACATTGAAAAGTAGGGACTTTTGTGCTAATTATGCCAAAAAATGAAATATATCAACGTTTTGCACATTAATATTGAAAGGTAAGAACCTTTTGTAATAATTACCCTTTGATTTATCGGAGCATTTTAACGGAGAGTTGACAGAAGGATATTTTGCTCAAAAAAAAAGGTGAAGATGAGAGTGTAATCCGCAAAAAATGAAAGGTATGGACGTTTTCCACAAAAATATCGAAAGGTAGGGACGTTTTGTGCTAATTACCCTTTATATTAACTATTCTAACTAACTATGAATAATGTTTGACAATGAGTTTCAAACCATGTAAATATTTTCAGACAGTCTAAAAATTCTAAATATGCTGATTGAGTAATGGTATCTAGCATTGGGGGTATTTATCACTAGTCTAGGTACAGCGAAAGTTGGAAGCTCTTGCTCTGCCTATCATGTGTTGTGCCCACCCATTATTTCTAGACATGACTAGCTTCTATTGGCCCAGCATGACTCGGTTTACACTTCTGGGTAGATTTCGATGTGGAATAGAGACCCAAAACGGCTTTGTTAAAGGAAAATGGACAAGGACAAAAGATTTTGATCATGATCAAGTAAACGATAGATGCTTATGATTGCAATGGAGGAGATATAACACCTAAAGTATACCTTAATCTTAAGCTAAATGTATCGGAACTCAGAAGGTTTTTTATTGTCGTATGTCCTTTTTAGTTGGGTTTGCAACCAACGCACACTACTAATAATAAGAAATTGTTGTGGGGTTGGTGAGAGGATGATTCTAAATTATTATGCCATAAAAAGATAGGCTCTTTCTTTGTTAATATTGGCAGGTCTAATTAAGGATTAAAACATTAGACATGTTTGGTACCTGGAGATTTTTGCAATCTTCAACTTACACACCAAATTTGAGGCGAGTTTTGTACCAAATCTTCTACAAAATTGACAATCTATCTTCAATTCATTACACCAAAAATAATACCAAATGAATAGTGTTCGATTATTTTCTTTATTTTTTGACTTTCAACAATTTATTTATTTTACAACCACATCAATTATTAAATAAATAATTACATTAAAATAGCTAAAGTATTGAATTCAATAATAAATTTTAAAATTATAGTACAATTATACCACAACTAAGATGATGATGATGATGATGATAATTTATTGTATTACAAAAATGGATAACAAAAGTGGATACAAATACCCTTAACTAAAAATTTTGCAAAATAAAAGACAAGGGCAAAATGGTAACACTATTCATTAGCAGCATTCTGCACCAAAACGGTGCAATAGGTTGGAGGAGATTTACACCAAATATTTGTTGTATAGTGGTGCAATGATGCAAGGTTGGAGATGCTCCAACACGTGGTTTTTATTTTTATTTTTATTTTTAATTGATTCACCATCTTTAGAAGCTTAGACTGTTATATAAAGGACACATATGTTTTTTTTTTGAATTATTTTTCCAACGCATTTCT